TAATCGAGATGAGCCATAAGATTTATATTAACAGCCTTTAAGGTCATCTACAAAAACTGTCTGTCTGTCTGTCTATTTTTCGACATAGAACTTTGCACATATGTGTGGCAGTTCAAGTCACCACACTCTCTCCTTGTAGCACATAAAGCAACAGAAGAAAGTAGAAGAAATGCATAATAGAGACAGTAAACAGAGGTGTGAGACAAAGGAATACTAATAACGAAGAACAATATAGTTTCATTGGAAGTCATAAGTCACGAGGAGTGGATACATCTGCGCTGTCAATGAGAACGATTTTGAGCCATGTCACCAATTGTTTCCAGCCATTGGTTTTTACTGTCCCGAGGACCCCAACCAGTCAGGAAGTCTACACCTTCCTACGTGGCTGGCTTAAACTAACTGCTGTGAATTGATTTCATTGACTGGTGCCATGTTTTGGTTTGACCACCACTAGCTCTTTTCCAGCTTGACCCTATGTCAACTAACATTGCCCGTCGAGGAAGGCAATGACTAGGCATACGTAACACATGTCCTAACCATCTCAGTCGATGTAATTTCCCCTCCTTACCTAGCTGGCACCAGACTGAAGCCTAACCTCAATATTGCTCACCTTATTATACCACTTCACACGGGAGATAGAGCGCAGGCACCTATGATCAAAGACAGCTATTCTTTTCATGTCTTCCACTCTCAATGACCATGTCTTTCGCAGCCAGCCATAAAGGAGGACGGAGCTGACTGATGAGCAGTACACCCACTCTTTGGTCGATATTCAGCCGGATATCACGTCTACGCCAGAGACGGTCAAGGGCGTTTATTGAAATACTCTGAGGCTATTGTTGTTCGTAAACTCAAGCCTCTTTCTGTGTATTTAAAAACCTACCTTGGTAATCCTTATTTGATTGGATTACCAAACGTCTGTGTTAATCATTCTTAAATCCTCTTTTTTTGTCACTTTGTTTAATTTAACTTTTTCATATATATATATATATATATATATATATATATATATATATATATATATATATATATATATATATATCGACTTGACAAGTAAATGTTTAGGCGGATCAGATTGTTCGGAATCTATAGCGTAAATACATCACATTGCTTGTCAGATAATCTCCGTCTTCTAATCACAATGCTAACCAAATTTATAAATGGGACTAATTGTTTTAAATTTAATATTTAATGCCACAGATCTAGTTCTGTTTGACGCCTTAGTTTTCGTTTTTGTTTCCATGCTCATCCCATTGACACCTCTATTCGTTGAGAACTATTTTCTATGCCTGTATAATTTTGTTTCTAAGTCCCTTTGTTTTTTATCTAATATTCACGCCTTCAGACTTTCATATCAAATTGAAAATGATTGCCACAGCTTTAATTGCCTACGTGTTATGATGTGGAATTAAATGAGAATAATTATATTTATGTAAACTTATGCATATATATTATTGCGATTGTACAAATGCTTTTGAGAATGTCGAAAGTCGCCGAAAGGATAGTCAGTTGTCTTTTTGTACGAAATATTCTCATATTTGAGTCAAATGGAAAAAGGGCACAAACAGCGAAGAAAATTTTCGCTTTTCAACGATTCATTTTCATGAGCTGCCGTACAATCGTAATTGTAAATAACAAAGAAATGTTTAGACCAATCAGATACTGGTAAACATTTTGTCTTTGAAAAATTGTATTACATAATGTAAGGTGTAACTTAGAAGGGATGACTAATTGTAAGTTAGAAAAGAGGCAGAAATTGGCATGATGTAATAAGTGTGAGATAATGACTGATCAATAAACTCATGTAGAATGGACAGGAACTAGTGGAAAGGTGATAGTGTTTTTATATAAAATCTGTATGAAAAAGCAATGTTATTAATAAACAGTAATAGAGTGGTAATAAAATGTGGATGATGGGAATAATAATGATAATAAAAGTATTAAGAATAATAGTGAACTTACATTATGAAGGAAAGAAGCAAAATTGTAGTAAGAACTGTACTCTGACCATGGTAGGGCGAGAGAATGTATGTGTCGCTTTTGAATGCAGAGGTCCGGTTTCATATCTCGAATAGCTAATGCTTCAGCTATGTACAGATGGCGTGTCCGAAGTCCCTTTGTACGATATTGAGGGACTCTGTGTATCACTGGGAAGCATTCATGTGGGGGTGGTCGATGTCTGGAGATGACAAGGTGTTCGAGGATCGAGCTGTTGCTATTCTTCTTTCCCCCTCTAGCTAACCAAGCTGGGCAGTGTTCCAGAATACGTTTGTGGACTTGACGTTGCGTTGTCCTTTTGATGAACTTCTTGTTCTTTTTTCTCTAATGTCCTGTCGGGTACTTTCCACAGTTTTTCATATTTCACTGTATTAGTTAATACACAGCAGTTATCATAAAATTCTGTTGCGTAATATTACAGATTGGTTATTATTGTGATGAATAACTATTGTTGTGAATTCATCAGGTGCTTACTGGATTCCTTTGGTGGACTAGGCTACTGTAGTTTGGACTAATTCAGCTGTCCAAACTGAGCTAAATAGGCTCTTGGGTGTACAACACTTATGAGTTCGATTGAGGACGAGTAAAACAGTTTTCCAATGTTTAATCTAAAGTTCTAGGTTCAGTTATCATGTGTAGATTAATTGGTGCTCGGGGGGGGGGAATAAACACGGGAAAATCAGGCATTTTTAGTCAAGGAAGAGGGTGTATTTGGTCATATTTTCACCCTTTGACAAATTCTGGAACATAGGCATACTTACCGACGTCCAACAACTGACATATTTCTTTACCTAAAAGCGGCATCCAAGTCTGTCTGCCGAGAGGTATTATGGCAATATTGGGCCTTGAAGAGAATGCCGAGAAAATACATCGCCTACTGATCAAGACACTCTACTGGAACTCATGCAGCCAGCCAGGTAAGAGTCTATGGAGAGTTGTAATCTGAAGTGATGACAACCACTGGTGCGCGTCAGGGATGCCCACTATTCCCATTTCTGTTTAATTTCATCATAGATGTAATAATGGAGTTAACCCTAACCGGCTTCAGTGAACCAAGAATTAACTTGTTACCAGGGAATAGTAGTCTCACCGGCTTAGGATATGCGAATGCTGTAGCCCTCCTTCCTAAGTGAAGACGCTGATGAAATAGAGCAGTGGGCAATCCTGGATTGTTTGTTTGGCGCGCCTGTCAAATGTAAGATAATGCTACAGGACTGGATTACTTTAACTCACTCCTAGCTTAAAGATAGGGAGACAGTGAAGTGGTAGAGCGTGTTGACTGCTTCATTCATTCGGGGGAATTCGCATCTGCCCCAATAGCAAGTTGATCTGATCGCTGACGAAATTACAGCACGGATAAAGAAGGCTCTTGTGGCATTTGGCTGCCAACTTATGCCGTCGCTGACTTAGTAGACGTGATATTCGGTTGTCTGTCGATCAAACGACGTGTATATTGCTCGGCATTCGTTTCTCTCCATCCTTCTCTATGTCTGGCCGTCTTTGAATGAGACATGACCATCGGAAGTGGAAAATATGAAAAGCCTGGCTGCTTGGCTGTCTATCATCATAGGTGTTTACCTGTGTTCTCTTTCCCTTATGTGTTAGGCAGCCGGTGGTAGTATAGGAAGGTTTGTAACATTTAGCAGGTTAGGCTTCGGTCGAGTGCTAGGAAAGTAGGAGGGAAAATCAATCGACGAGGTTGTGAAGTTAAATGGATCGAGAAAGATTGTTAGGGTATGTTTTAAGCACGCCTAGCCTAGTCATGGATTGCCTTCCTCGACAAGGGTCAGTGTTAGATGCTGACATAGGATGGATCAAGGTAGAAAAGAGTTGGCCTAGTAGTGGTCAAATGAAAACATGACTTCATCAATCAATGAAATCCAGTTACAACCATATAGTTCAGTTCATTCAATACTTAATATATTCAAAAGTTAGTTTGCAGTTATTTGATCGTTTTTAAGTCGAATCACTTTGCTTCGGTTGTTCACTACTCAGTGAAGAACACTGGTCAACCAAGCAAGTGGTCCGGTGTTCGATTCCCGGTCGACACACTCCTTAACCCCACTTATCCGGTAATAAGTAGGCCCGATAAAGAGGAAAGATTGGGTTTAGGAGACTGGCAACCTCATCCCGTAAAAACAGCCACTCCTACTAAAGCCCTCTGTCACAGTGGGAATGCGAAGGAATGAAATAAAAAATAAAGTTAAATCACAAAATTGACATTAATTAGAGAACTATTTAAAATCAGGGCGTACTGTCACAGCTGTTTCGTCCTAGTTTCGAATTCTTAACTTTTAACTCCTAGTCCCGATTCCCAGTGAATCCATAAGTGAGTTATATTGAAAACTCCCCAACTGGGATAGAAGGAAACATCTGTGTTCAGTAATCTCTCTGGCATTAAGTGATTCTCTAATTACTGTCAATTGGTGATTTAATTTGAAATACTTGGTAGTCTCTCTCTCTAGCGTTGAGATTTTCCCACGTGTAAAAATACTTGTAATTTCTATGGAATAAATCTCAGATAAAGGTATAAATATTATTTGTGAATAAAAATTATGTTTCAGTCGAATTGTGTAGTAGATGTTTCCTACTTTATTTTGTGTTTATCAATCATCTACTTATTGTTTTGTCAGTAGTTAGTGATGTTTTTAGTAAAAATAGTCTCATTGTTCATCCTCAATAGTATGCTGCATTTTTTGTCTCTATTCCTGCGTTCTCAGTGGAATGTCGAGCCTCAAGCTTTGAAGTTCGAATATGGTGGTGCCGTTTCTTTTTTCTAGGATAGAGTCAATAGCTTGACTCTCAGTATTCCTTTCTGTTAGGAGGTTTAAGAGTTAGTTAGTGGGCGGGTACCTATACCTAACATAGGGGATACCGACGCACGTGGTATCCATTAGTTATGTATTTATTTTCACTCTTATTTTGCATTCCCTAGTTTTGTAGTATACTTCAATGTGTTTAATTATTTCTCTTTGTGCTCTAATATTTTATGATTGATTCAGATTCAAGTTGGGCTGTCTTCCAAAAGGCCTTACAATCAATCCTATACATGGCCATGTCCTGGATATTATATTGTACAAGTTACAACTTGTTCTGCTGGTCTAGTATGGTGTTTAGCTATTAGACAGTCTGATGATGATGGGAACGACACAATATCATTTGACTGCGATAGATTTGTAAGTTTCAACCTGTTCAACTTAAATTTCATAGTGTTTTTTTCTAAGGTCGATGGTTGCCGCGAAATTTGAAATTAAAATCATAAACAAATTTAATCTCCCGCAGATATCATAACCAGTTAAATCTTTAATCCATCTGAAAGAGGTTTACTGTACGGATCAAGCTAGTTTATTTATTTGATTACTCAGGATTTCTTCATGAACTGACATCGGTTAGAGGACCACTTGAAAATCTGGGAGTACTGCCAGATGGTCTGGTTTCAGACTCTTCAGTAGTACGCACCCAACCGGGTTTCGAACCCAGGACCTCCTGGTTACAATTTGATCGAAGCAGTAGACCATTAAGCCACTAGGATTGATTCATTGGCTAGCCCATGAATTCCAACGAAATAACGCGACCTCTTGAGAATGTCATCTCACGGGAGTATTTGTCCTCACACCAGACCTGCTCTACCCTACTGGTATACAGTAAAAGCGAATAGATTAACTAACTGGTTTGACAATAAATAAATGAACTCAACTTTGAGTCTTCAGTAAATTATCTTCCAACTAGTTTACATCGATTGTGAGCATTAGTATCACCTGATGCATTTTCGGTATTTTACAGCGTACGGTGATGATTGATAAGAGAATGTTTTGCAAAACATTGAATGTTGATTCGCTGCATTACTTAAGACGATTCTTGGGTGATTTCAATAGTTGCAAAATTACCAATTACACATTTAGAAAACAACTAGGAATTGAGCGAAGAAATATGCATTCCTTTTCAATTAGTGGTTCCTCATCATCATCGGCGGGCTCTGCACTAATATATAGTTTTCACATCAAAATATTATCGATCGAGCCCATCAGTTTAGGTTTAAGCGGGGGTGTTTGAAGTTAAGAGATTGAAGGTCATCAAAACAATTGAATAACAGATGTTATTGACAAAATACCTAAGTTTTAATGGAGGGATGAAAATTAATTAATTACGGAATTCAAGATAAGTTAATTCGTAGGGGGTTAGCAACAAGTTATTACATAATTAAGGAATCTGTAAAATAATGATGACGAACAAGAATAGGATGACTCAGTAGAATGGATCCAGAGACAACAGCGGACTTGATGATGCCATTACTGGAGAAGGTGTGGAAAGAGGGCAAAGTACCCGAGGATTGGAAGATACGATACTTATTCAGACTACCAAAGAAAGGAGACATAAGTCAATGCAAGAACTGGCGCGGAATTATGCTCCTGTCCGTCCCGAGCAAAATACGAAGTCGCATCATCCTGGAGACAATCAAACACGTCAACCTGAATGAAAAATTTCGACCGGAACAGGCTGGATTCAGGAGGAACAAGTTATGTGTTGATCAAATTGCCACACTGTGGATCATCATTGAACAAAGCTTGTAATGGCAGTCACCTCTCTATTTCAACTTCATCAACTTTGAAAAGGCCTTCGACAGCGTCGATCGAGAGGTTATTTGGCAACTACTTCGCTACTATGGGGTGCCATCGACAATTATACATCTCATCCAACAGTCGTACAACAATGGTGCATGCCAAGTAATCCACAACGGGAGACCTGCGGAATCCTTCGAAGTGAGGACGGGAGTGAGGCAAGGCTGTCTACTATCGCCAATGATATTCCTGATTGCAGTAGATCGGATGATGCGACAGATAACGGGCAATGAGGAAACAGGCATAAAATGGACTCACACAAGATACTTGGAGGATCTGGACTTCGCCGATGATATATGTCTGATTTCCCACAAACTGGAAGATATGCAAGTGAAAAGCAACAAGTTGGCGATAGAAGAAGCATCAAAGATAGGACTTCAAGTGAACATAGATAAAACAGAGGTGATGAAGATTCCTGGCCAACACCAACAGCAACAACAACAACAGACGACAGTCAGCATAAATGGGAGGAACCTGTAAGAAACAACCTCCTTCACCTACCTGGGAAGCATCGTTTCAACTACAAGCGGACGGAACTGACGCGGGTTTGTGTGAGACGTCAATTCCTAAAGGTTTGAAGAGTCTTGCAGTGATTTTTGAGATGTCCTTTATATATGGTAAGGCGATTTTCTTTGTGCTTTCCTTGGGGACCTCTGATTTGATAAGTTGACTTGGGGGTTTATGTCTTTTGATGAAATTCCGTGGATATCTATTCTTTTGGGAGACGTCCCTGAGATATCTTTCTTCAATTTTCCTTAAGGTGGGAGTTCTGCAATGAGTCATGGCTCGCCCTCTTGAATAGTGTTTGTATACAATTCCTTTTGTGTGTTTTTGGATTGTTGTTGTTGCAATTCAGTATTTGGTCTGTGTGAGTTGATTTTCTACAAACTTGAGTTTCTAATTCTCCTGTGGTTTTTCGTTGGACTAGGAAGTCGAAAAATGAGATTTGGTTCTTGGATTCTTTTTCTCTTGTGAATTTGATTTCGTTAAAGACGTTGTTTATTAAGTTGTGAGTTTTACCTAACTTGTTGCTTTTGATTATTACAAATGTGTCGTCGACGTAACGTATCCAAATCTTGGGTTTGATCTTTGGTAGAATCATGTTTTCGAGCCTTTGCATCACTGCTTCTGCAATCAAACCTGATATTGGCGATCCATCCCATGGGTGTTCCTTTGACTTGTTCATATATTTGGCCGTTGAATTGGAATTACGTTGTTATGCATACGTTTAGTTTATACATTCCATCCAACTTATGTGTTGCATTTTTGATTGTTGTGGGAGGTGTTCATCATTGCTGCGTAATTGCTCCATGGTCTCTTTTGGCAGTTTTTGTCCGATTGAGGTATATAATGCTGGGACGTCGAAGGATATCATGATTTCTTGGTCATCTATTTGGACGCCTCTGTTTTTCTCTAGAAATTGGATAGCAGAATTGATGGAATCGTCACAAAATTCCGTTAAGTGTTTCAATTTTCTGTATAATTCTTTGGATAAATTGTATGTTGGAGTTCCTGGGATTGGTACAATTGGTCGTAGTGGGATAGTTGGCTTGTGCATTTTTGGTCTACTGTAGAATCGAGGTAGGACTGGTCCATTGGATTTCATTCGCCATTGGTCTTGTTTTGTGATCTGACCAGTTTTAGTGAGCTTGTCCAAGGTTCTCTCGATACGATTGTCTAATGTTTATATGAGATTTGTTGGGAGTTGTTGATATACACCCTCATCTTTGAGTACTTCTTCAGCTTTCTTGTTGTATTCTCTGTCCATGACTACTGTTGTTCTTCCTTTGTCAGCTGGTAGAATGATGATGTCGTTCCTATTTCTCAGCTTCTTGAGAGCCTTTAGTTCTTGAGGGTTGAGTTGTGTGTGTTGTTTTTTCTGTTTGACCATTGGTACGATTGTTTGGCGTATCTCTTCCTGTGTTTTCTCGTTCAAGTTTGAGGATTTGAGTAATGATTCAAGGATAGCGAAGAAATCAGTTTTCGAATCGTCTCCAGTGTTGTAGTTTAATCCTTTTTGTAGTAGTTTTTATTTTGATAGATTGACTACGCAGTCTATAGGCGCATTGTCTGGTTGTTGTTTTCTAATCTTGGCTAGCTTAGTTTTTAGAACTCTGCATCTTTGCTCTCTGTGTCTTCTACGTGACAACGTAATTTGGGTGATCAACTTTGACAGGTGTTCCTGGTTAAGGGTTTTCTCTAGGTTTTCTTTACGGGCACGTATAACTTGTTGATATTTGTTGATCCGATAATGTGTGTCTGTAATCATTGATTTGGCCATTCGTCTTCCACATTGTCCGGCCAGTTCCCATCGCATTGAGCAGTTGACTAATGGTTTGTATCTGACACTGGTCGGTAGGATTTGATGACGAAGGGACTCATGGAGAAAGAATAATTGTTCTCTGGTGGATCCTTCCTTGCCTTTTGGTGAAGTCTTCCCACTTTTGAACAGATAGAAGCCTGTCCCTCTCGTTACCAGTGTGTCAAGGAGAAACTGATAACTGTTTCTTTCTGAACACACAAATCATGTTTCAGGCGCCTGACGAAGGTCGCTTCGGCAAACTTGGTAAGAATTGAACTATTGCATCTACTAATAATTTTGAAAGATTTTACAACACCCACCTCGTGATCCTTATCAAGGAGATGCTTGGCAATGGCACTACCGGAAGCATTTCTTCTTTCAAGACGTAGACTTTTTTGGTACACATTCAGAACATCGGAGGTGTGCCCTTCTTTTTTCTGTTCTTCCAATGTAACTCCTCCCTCAAATACATGTAAATTTGTATACACAATTGGACGTAGTATGAGAAGTGGGGGGGGGTATTTGTTGACTTTTAATTGCACATCAAAGAGCATGTTGTCCGATAAACGGGTTCAAAACGGGCTTTATTCAAAATTATTAGACGTGAGTATATTAAACCCTCCGCTTCTTTTATATGCACAATATGACCGAACTAATTTCATTCCTTATTTTTCTAAAAAACGAATCCCCTTCTTTAGGTTATACTTAGTTCCAATCTACCGAAATCTCTAATTGAAAATCAATCATCAAAATCAATTTCAACTGCTAATACTACTGTAACAGAACAATTGAAACATTTAACATGGTCAACAACTTTTAAACTACCTTCCTTATTGATTCGATCATTAACTGAACAGATGACTTCAATTGAAGCTTTGCCTGCATTGAATGATTTAGCCGCATTGATTAATTGTGAACTTCAAATTGTATTAATTGATCAAAAAATGAAATCAATAGTTAAAAATCAAGAAATGGCAGGGGGAAGTCGAATAAGGCATTACATAACAGCTTGGATTCTTAGTGCATATTATACACCAGAAGAATGTGATATGTATAATATTTATTCAGTTAATGGTTATGTCCAGTGTATTATTAGTAGTAAATCTGATGATGGTGAAGATGGTGATAATAATAATAATATTGAATTCGAATCGATTTCCGATTGGAATCAGGTTTGTGATTATTTTGCAGTTTTCTTTATTTTGTTGGCTTGCCTTTTTTTCTCTAGTATGGATTTATTCTCTGAACTGGTTACTTTATTTGCGAAGCTTACATTGTCCTCTTATAAACTAGTACTAACTAACTGTTGTAGAGAAGCAAGATGAGGAAGGTGATGTGAGTATAGGAGAATGATGCTCAGAAAGGCTTCTTGTGCTTTTGGAAGTGTGTGGGCGGTTGTTACTTCCTGACTGCCCACACTGTGGAAGTTGATTGATTCTTCGGGTACCTGAAATACTTAGAGGGTTAGTGTTGCTTGACCGTAGAGCCCAGAGCACAACTGCTTGAGACCGGCCGATCACACACGGCCTGTATGAACTGGTTTCTGGGATTGGTTCCGTATTACTAAACTTACCGCCGGTTACGGACCACTGTAGAGTAAGTCGGGATTTACAACCTTTGGGGTCGACCTTTTCTAACCCCTTCCCTCTGGAGTGGAGAGACAGAATAGCTGGCATGCTGGTTGTCTGAGGGAAACACCTCACTGCTGTTACACCGCTGTTCTCCAGAAGTACGACTTCGCCCTCAGACCCCCCAATATATTGTAAGAAAGATTCTTACACAATACTGGTAACTGCTTTTAGTCTAATTGCTATTCTAACAGCCTTCCTGGCATCTTAGGACCTGCAGGAACATTTGTTCCAGCCAGTGCAACTTGTTGGGTCATTAGGGTTGGGTAGCAGCTATCAGTCGGGAGCAGCTATCGCTCTTATAAACAACATTGATTGGTGCGTCTTACTTATATCAAAATGTCTGTTCAATGGAAATCGATCTGGGTAGCAGGATTGTAACAAGTGTTTGGCCTTCTTTGCTTCTCCTCTCTTGAAGATCTCCTCGGTTGATTTAGTGTCTTCAGGTGTTCTTTTGTATTCAGATGAATGAAATCATGTCGTGTCTTTTGATATATCACCAATCCCCATCAAGAGGAGAAATTTGAAAGAGGTTACTTCCTTCACTCATTTGGCTAAGAAGCATCGTTCCAACTGCAGGTGAATGACACTGATGAAAATGTCGAAACCAGCCAGCCAAATCGGAAAGGTTAGGTGTATCTTCATCACTCAGGAGTCAGTGTGGAGATCGTCTGCATTCCGCCTCAGCATAAACAACAAAATTTGGATTTTCAACACAAATGTGAAGTCAGTCAGTTAGTGAGTCACTACTTCTATATGGGTCAGAAAATTAGTCAGCTCAAGAGTCATGGAAATCATTTCCAGCAGGCCGCTTTGCAGACTTTTGTCAATAACTGCCCACTACTCTGACTCCATATATTGTAAGCATCGAATAACCAACCGAACAGAAATAATTAGCTTCAAGAAACTATGGCGATAAACAAACCAACAGGCGAGATTCGGCACATTCTATTAAGGAGACTGTTGGATGACAAAACGGTCATTGCAGGCCATCGCTGGAGTAGAAGATGAATGGGGAACGAGCGATGAGTTGGACGTTGGTCCGAGGATGACATAGAGGAGATCAGAGACTATGGGCAATCGTGGGTTCAGCTGAATAGAACCGTAGAGAATTTCAAAAAGTGGAGATGTGCTGGTGAAACCGTATGTTCCACTCAGTGGAACCCAAGGGAACAGTAATAATAATACATATGTTATATGATTGAAATTTCTTGAATAAATCAGGAAGTGGGAAAATAATGTTATTATTCATCATTATTATTATTGTTTCCTTTAGTTCCTAGAGGAAAATAAGACTTCAGCCGCACGTCTCCATTGCGTTCGGTTCCCTTCGCCAACATTTTCACATGGCTCCACGTCTGTCCACATGCTTTCATCTCCTCATCACGTCACCTCTTCCACTCGATGTCACCCTCGCACTAACGACCAACTAACTCGCCGGTTCCCATTCAGGTTCCAGTCGAGAGCCTGGTGTGAATGGTCACTCGATGGTTTTCTCAGTGTATAGCCAATCCACCTCCATTTCTTCCTGCATATTTGTTGCACAATTGAGAAAGCAATGTTGTTAGCAACATAATCCTAAAGTACATATATTATACCATGTATGAAGATACTCTGATTAAAGAGAGTAGTGAGTACATATGCTCTCCTATGGTTTTAAGCATCTTAAAGGTTCTAAAGTAAAATGGAATAAAAAAAATACCTGTGAAATTTCATTCGACCATTTTTCAGCAGATTTATTTAGTAGACTGTCATCGGTTGCAGTAAATCTTGCATTGTGTTAACATGATTTGAAATACAGTGAATCCAGGATGTGCATTTTGTCCTATCGGGGAAATGACTCGATGACTTGATCTATCTTTAAACACTGTGAGTGAGTGAGTAATAGTTGATTTTCTCCCTTAGACACAAACCTACCCAGCGCCATCCATCCTTTCAAATTTCCAGGCGTCATCCACTGAGCCATGAGACAGATAGAGAGAATCACCACTTGTGCAATGGATATAGCAGTTTTTTTTCTTTTTTCGTGTTAATTCATATTTCCCGTTGATTGATTTCTGATATTGCATCGAAATATGCTTGACCTTTGTTGATATAACGGCGGTGGCTTCCTACCTCGGACAATTCGACGATGTCTCAGCACTAGCATGAGGTTATTTAGCTTATCATAGAACTGCTGGTGGCAGATATCACCGATGGTATCTGTACCCTCTAGGAGTCTTCGTGTCAACACAGACTACGCATTTCCTTCCGTCCAATATGATCAATCAGCGAAGAATACATATTAACTTGAACAAATCACTGCTATTTGAATTCAATTGGTGGATCGTGACGAGGGTGGTCATTTCATGCTATTCTCCCGGTAAGCGATGAGGAATACAGGTACATCCAGTTGACGAGTCCCAACTAGGATAAATGCTAGTCACCATCCACCAGTTTACTTCAAGTTAAATAATAATCAGACATCGTCGAAACATCTGTATGAGGAGCCGACATGTCAGTGTTAACCTGTTTATTCTTTTCTCAGTAGTGTGCATTTTTGCCACGATCTAATTCTCATTCTAAATCAACATTGTTATGTGTAGAGCCTTTTATGATGGATACTTTTATGGTGTGTAAACTTCTTTCCACTATTTACTTGTACTACTCATAATTAGTAAGTAGTATACTAACTACTATATGTTTTAAAATGTTTTGATCTGCTTTATCTAGTTCACTGTCGGTGAAATTAGTGCTACTACTAATGCTGCTAACACACCAAACATGAGTAGGAGTTATTTCGGTGACTTCTTTACGAAACGAATCACATCTAAACAGAAAGGTATGTCTGCTGAATGATGGAGATTACTTTTTATGTTTTCTTTTTCAATAAAGATATCAGTTGTCGAGTAATATGCTCTCTGTATTTTAGAGATTTTCGTCAGACTATTATGTAGTGAATATTACAGCCGTTATTGAGTGGGTATACATATTGACTCTCTGTACTATCAGCATGGATCCGAGGGAAATGAAACTTTTGGTACTAACTCTTTATGAAATAATAGAAAAGATTTGTAACTCAGGTGGATGATTTGGAATTGATAGTGTTCTCTGAGCTCCTTGGTTTAATTGCGGAGCTTTCATCGTCTTTCTGGACGACATCATGAAGAAATTTAAATCATTTCACTTTATCCCAAATACTGCGCTGAAGATGTCGTCCAGAAAGACGATGAAAGCTCCGCAATTAAACCAAGGAGCTCAGAGAACACTATCAATTCCAAAACTAACTCTTTATGTCAACTTAATTCTTTGATAATTAAGAACACATGAGTCAGGAAAGATATCCCCTTCTGTGCTTAACCTCACATCAAAGCTGTACAGTTATTTAGGGTGTCTGTACATAAAAAGGTCAAAGGTTATTGTCAGTTAAGTTTTTTTCAAGATAGAGTAGTAGCAATAGGTTCTCCACTTGGTCCATTGCCCACAGATTGCTTCATGGCGCGTACCTCGAGGCAAATATCCTCCTACCAACAAAACAATCAGTCAATTCGAAGTTTACAAGCCGTATATGGATGATATCTTTATCATCACCAATGAAAGCATAGACCTAAACAAAATCTTGCCAATCTTCAACAACGGCCACTAGTCGGTTGGATTTAAAATTGAAGTGGTATCAGAAGATAAATTATCCTTCCTAGATGATCACTTCAAGAGATGATCAGATGGAAGTCTAAAAAGATCAACCTACCAAAAAATCAAACTGAAGTGGACAGCTGACAATGAGGAGGGAAAGAAATCTCATCTCCTCTCTTGGGACAAGAATCTACTGTAGATGCATTGAAAACGCATTGAATAAAAAAATGGAATCCTCCAGAAAAACTCTAATCAAAAATGGATATGCCAATATCTTCATAAATAAACATCTAAAGACAGAGACCGATACTCCTCGAAACCTGTTTGTGATGAAGAAACAACTAAATGTAAATTTTGAAGTTCAATGGAGATACAATTAGTGAGGTCCTCATAAGCTACCTGTCAAGACCACTTCGTAGAAAGTTGTTTGCTGCATCTCTACGTCTCATCTTCTGTACCTTTTAGATTGAACCATGTAGACTTCCATTTGATCGTCTTCTGAAGTGATCATCTAGGAAGGATAATTTACCTTCTGCCTCTGCTTCAATTTTAAATCCAACTGACTGGTGGTCATTGTTGCAGATTGGTAAGATTTTGTTTAGGCCAGTATATTCATCTGTGATGATAAAGATATCATCCATATACCACTTGTAAACTTCGAATTGTTTGATTTTCTTGTTGGTAGGAGGATATTTGCCTCGAAGTACGCGTCATGAAGCAATCGGTGAGCAGTTGACCAGTTGGAGAACCCATGGCTACTGATGTCAGCTCATGATGAAATCCTCCATGCAACCATTGCTACTACTCTATCTTTCTGTCGGTATATTTGATTGTCCTACGAAACTGAACTGACAGTAACCTTTGACCTCTGTTGTCAGTATATATTGTGGATATATAAAACACACTAAATAACTGCACAATCTTGACGTGAAGTTAAGTAGAGAGGGGATCAGTTTTCTGACTTGTGTATAATTAATTAAATGAAATGACAACTGAAGAAATGTATGTGTGAGACTTAGTTGAATTCCACAGTACTGAAGCACGAAATGTCTCTCTATGTATATTGGTGATTTCATATGTCGTCAGTCGGTTAACTTCATATAAGCACATACATTCAGTGAAGCCAAACTGTTCATCAGTTTCAAAAAGCTGAATAAATAGTCCGATCTTCAAATCAAAATCTGCACAACATACATAAACGATGTCAATTCCTTTCCCATCTGTTCTTTCTTTTTCTTCAAATTCATACTACTTAGCATTAGTAAGTAGTATGAATCATATTTGTTACTTCTTAGCTACTTGGTTTCATGGCTAAGTTAAACTTCAATCACCACTAACTACCAATCAGCGAACGACTTGGAATGGTACAATGAGGTTCATGCACATGAGTTCAAGGTGGTATAACTCTTGATTCGTATCAAATGCGTGCTCTGACAAACCTACGCTTGCAGTTCGAGGAGGATGAGTTCTTGCACTATTGCCTGGATTTGAGGTTGCTTAGGAAGGAGAGGATTTGTTCATGTGGTTGTGTGATGAGTTTAAAAAGCTTTAGCAGGTCGACTGATGGCTATATCCATTGTTGTGCAATATGTTTGAGACGAGGTAGTATTAAGGAAGGTAAGCTGATAATTTGGATATTTTGTAGGAATTGTTTTTGTTAGGTCGCGTCTCTCCCTAACCCAGATTTTGTATGTTTGTAACTACTGGGTTTTAAAGCAGCCTGTGAGAGTGGCTCAGCTGTTGAAACTGAAAGTAGCCTCGTGTCAGCAGTTCATTCGTACCAGCACTGCAGAAACATCGCCTCACGGAAATTGGAGAGAATTACTACGATGTTGGGTGGAGAAGGCATCGTCGTGCACGTGTACGAAACCGTTTTACTGAAGAAAAAATACAACCGTTGTCGTGAGCGAGCTAACAGTGTTTCGGTGATTGGTTTATATGACACCTCCCTACGGAAAGGATTCGTTGAGAGAATACCAGACAGAAAGTCAACTACGTTAATACCTATTATTACTAGACTTGTGAAACAGGGGTCCATAGTACATACTAATGAATGGAAAGGTTATAACTCGCTGTCACCTCTTGGATATATTCATCACAGAGTGGACCATTCCAGTGATTTTGTGGATCCCATTACAGGGACAAGCACAAATTCTATAGAAGGATTTTGAGGAAGATTGAAAAATAGGATTAGGTCTATAAATGGATCTCAAAAGGATCTCACTTATAGTCATTTGGATGAATATATATACATAATGTGGTGTGACTTTTCTGTTGACCCTCCCATGCTAAACTGCGAGACGTTTCTGTTACATGTTAAAGAAAGATACCTTATGCAACAATTTTATGCAGTTTCTATGCTATTTTTCCATAAATATATGTTTTCCTTAATCAAAAAATCCCTCTTCATGTGATTGGTCCGTTTAAGGTCGTTCGCTGATTGGTAGTTTAGTGGGGCTTAAAGTTTAACCTTGCCGGTTTCATTATGAGCTGATATTGGTCAGGGAACCATTGGAAAACTACAGTAGGGAGTATTGGACAGCCAGTTATTACGTCAGTCTAATTCGGGACTCTTCAACAGTACGCACGTACTGACAGGGTTCTAACCCAGGGCCTTGTCGTTAAAAGGCTAGCGCATAGGTATGAGGAAGTTGGCTAGAGCCAGTCGCTCTGTGTTGTGAACTTTAAGATTGGTGTTTGTCCTGCGTATAATATCACCTCGAACTGTACATTGTGTTTAGAAGGTCATTCAGTTATTAAATACTAAGTCAAAATAAACTTATGTAATATTGAAATTAATATCTCCATCTCATAATTTACACTTGTTTATATACCAATTGTATTGATTTCTTTCAGATTTGATTACATATCCCGTTCCACTTATTCGATATACTCATTCAATTGTCAATAACAAAGTATCTGATAAAGATGCTGAGGATAAGACCGCTCGTCATCACCGTCATCATCATCGTCGCATTGATGATATAATCTCTAATCATCATGTGATATGTGATCAACCATTTCGAATTACCCAACAACGTCCTTGGAATAAGAATACAATAATTATGCAACCAATTAAATCCACTTCGAATTTATTCACCTATTATTGGAAACATTATCATCATTATGTTTTACTAGATATTGAAAATATCAATAATATATTTGTTGTTCAAACGTTTGTAAATTCAGACGATAATAATAATAATAGTAATAGTAGTAATGCTTTTATCAAGTGTTTATGGATACCTAGTAATGATGGTTCATTTAATAAAGGAGTAAGTTTTTTGTTGTTTGTTTATTTATTTGAATTTCCCTCCTTATTTTATATTTGAATCATTAAAACAAAATTCAATTTTAAAACTACCTGTCTTGTTCAATAAGTAATTATGAGTCTAGCTTGTTTGTCTATAATGTGATGAAGACTGTAAGTAGGGCGAATGGTGTGTGTCATTGGGCTCCATATCGTTGACATCGTCATTGACGATAGGCACTTAGTGTTTCATGCAGTAAATTTGCTGAAAGGGTTTTGTGGGACTGTGAACACCTACTTTACACGCAGCTTTCATCTTGTTGAGTCTCTTCAAGTAGAACAAGATATCTGTAAAAAATTATGTTTGTAAAGTTTCAGCGAGATTGAAATGAGTAATTCCAACGTTTCCTGCGTTCGGCAATCTCGTCCGAACTTCTTCAGGGAAATTAATCGAAATTAACATAACAGCAGAGGTTTATATATAAGAGGAACATCTCTTATTTTTACAAAACTTTGTCCAATCATGAGTCATAAAATGAGTATTAACAAGTATAGTAAACAAAATTGTATGAGCTGTGATCAAAACTTGACTTCGGACTTACAAATATTGATCTACCTTTGTTAAACACTTCAAACAGTGTGCATGTGTGTATGAGTAAACAGTTGTTAAACAATTTTTTAACGTCTGCATATGTAGATACAGACAATCGGGAACTTTGACCAAGTATTATTAATTAGTGATACATATGCATTTTTATTTATTAATCAGGATTTCCTATGCATCAGCTAACAAGATCACACCTTCATGTCTGTTCAAACTGTTAGTATCTAGAATTTTATGATTAGATGTATTTTCAAAATTATGGTGTTTAGGATTAGAGTTTAGTTGAACAACCCCGTCAAACTTATTACTTTGTCTTCTTTTTGAATATTGAGCTGCTTTATTCGACCTACTGAAGCTGTCAGGTGACTCGATAGCTACGGACGGATTTAGGATATGCATTCTATTGCAGACAACGGAGAGTGGAAACACGATGATTGTGCCAATTACATATAGTTTCTTTGTTAATTTAATTCGATTGCAAAATAATTCAAATGAACTGTCGTCAAGGTTTGATAGAATAGTTCTCAAATATTTGGGCATCGAGAAAAAGAAATCGTTTCAAAAGACTTTACGCGAGTACACCTCTAGGTATAAAACTTTCATGATACCATATTTGGCGGCATGTGTTTTATGTGTTGAAAATAGTGTCAGTCGCGAAGTAATTGACTAACTAAGTAACCTTCTTTCCACTAGTAAATAAACACACTTTCTCCATCCATATACTGACATGGTTTACTGTCATTATTCCTTTGATGTTTAAAGTCCTCTCACTGTTTTTCATAACTGTGAACATTTAATCTTTGTAATAATGGTTATTCTTTTGGTTTTTCCCTCACCATGCTACGTTAAGAGAACATTAGATTCAGTATTCTATAATATGCTAAGATTTCTATACTTTATCAACGATATTGTTGTTATTATTATTGTTATTATTCCCATCTTATACTTTGCATATCTTTGACACTATTCTCACTTTAGACATAAAAATGATCTACAGAAACTGGTTAATACACATGGTGCTTGTAGCATAGAGGGGATTGTAACAGAAACTAGATGTAACACAAAATACCTTGGTATAGTTCTATCCGTTGACTTTACTTGCTCATCCCATATTTTATCGATCTCCAAGAAAATGTTCCGTTTAAGCTACTAACTAACTACATTAAGAAGCTAAAACTCATATATCATACCTATTTTACTCTACTGTTCCTCCTTAGTGTTTCCTTGGCTACTCAAAAACAATTATGTCGTACTGCGAAGGGTATTGAAGGTTGTCAGTAAGGCACTTAGTCAATCAGCTTGTTACCATATTGGTTGATAAACATCTAAACTCATGCGACAAATGGTCAAAATCTAATATTGTCTGATCCTCAACACCTAGCCCGTCTATTCTCAACTCTTCGCTTGTATTGTATCTGGTAGAACTAGGAGTCATTATAAAAGATAATATGCTCATTGGCACAACCAACTATTATAAAAACTCAACGATACCCTAGGTGGCTCGCTTGCTTTCTATGTGATAGTGTTAAAAAGGGAAATTTATGACTTACTTGTGTGTAGTGAGCATAAAAATGGGCTCAGTAATTCTCTTATATTTGTAATTTCACGATGACACTATCCCCATTATCTTATAATTCTGTGTTATTAATACTAATAGTATTATTATTATTTTACATTTGTAAATATTAAAATATGTGTAAAACTTGGGCACTGTGGTAATAAGTAATTCCATATTAGTTTGTTTATCACACGGTCAGTGAACAAGTATTATTTACTGGATGACGTTTCGAACAAAATTGATTGTTCATAATCATATCGTCAATTATGATCACACGACTTTGAAACTTGAGTTTTATAGTTTTCTTTGTTCCCTCGTTTTTGTCTTTGGGGTAGTAGGGGTAATAATAATAATAATAGTGACATGCATGTCACACATGCTCAGGCTAATGAGAACACCAACAATAAGGAATCCAAATCATCAGTAGTAATTCCATACTAGGAAGAAAACTTGGAAACTACCTCACGCGAAATTCTTAACAAGGCACAAATAAACGTGGTTGTCATTCAAACGGTCCACCAACTCATTTAGAAACTAGCTTTGTCGGCTAAAGGATCAATCCTGTAGAGCTTTTAAAACAGAACAATTTATTTATATCTAATACCCTGCTTGAATGATTGTCGGGTCAAATACATAGTTCAAAGTAGTAGAACAGGTGCAGTCAGACTAGCCGAGCATAAAAGCCTAGCAGCGAAATCTAGATCAGTTGGCCCGATTAAGATAAGAGAAATCTAGGAAATAGTTGGTTCAGTCATAGCACTCACCACGTGCAGTTACACACAAGCATACAATAGCACGGGATGGGATAAGATGACAGTTTTAAAATCTAATGTCACAGGGTTGCGAGTAGGGAAGATTGATAACAGAAACTTTATTTGTCGAATCAACTGAGGAGAATACGTGTAATAGGAATGATTCAACACCTGTCCTCCCAGATATCTGGAAAATTCTTCTACGGCTATGACGACAAATAGGAGAGAACAAAGAAAACTATAAAACTCAAGTTTCAAAGTTGTGTGATTATAATTGACGATATGATTATGAACAATCAATTTTGTTCGAAACGTCATCCAGTAAATAATAATAGGGTTGTACTGTGTGATACATCTAGTAGACAAACTAATCTGGAATTACATTTGTACATTTTGCTTGCCCTACTGTTTCTGCTTAATGCCAAAATTTGATGTTATGAATTTAGGAAAAGTGTACCCTGTAATGTATATTTTCTATTGTTGTTATTGTTCAGTAAATTAGATGCGATATTGTACAAAACGCTGAAAATTCCACTCTGTGTCATAAGTACTGTTTTAGAATAAAGGAAATCATTACTATTGTTATTATTATTAACTTGAGTTCACCCTACCACTACTACCACTATATCAGTGATATGTATCCATATAATATGTGTGTTTTGTTTGACAGTCTGTTCTTGGTGACATGTATCCATATAATATGTGTGTTTGTTTGACAGTCTGTTATATTTTGCTATGTATACATGGATCGATATTCCATTATAATTAGCCATTCATGTTAAGACTGTCTATTGATTTGTTCATTTTGAATATTCGCTCATACACTTGTGTTCACACACTTGTTCGGACATTCATATATTTTGCTCTCACACACTTGTGTGTGAGATTGATTCTCCTTGTGTTTGGAAAATAGAAGTATCATCGCAAACCTAGTGGTCTTCTGATTTCCGTCTTTCTTGCATCAGGACTATTCAATTCTCGACCAGTACATAACAATCAGCCTGTATGACTTTCAGCTTTTTTTTACATTCAAACTTTAACAAAGTTACCTGTTTCCCAGTTGTCTAGCAGTAGAATCTAGGCTGTTTATTTTCGTCCCATTCTCGACCCGTCAGCTGAATGTTTATGTTCCCCTATTGCAGAGTGGTTGAGTGTATTTCTATTGAAACTTGAACCATCTCTTCGCCTCTCTTCAAACGCCAATGTGGTTCCCATCAGTTTACTGAGCCATCATTTATTGAAGTACGGATACCTGAAGATGATTAGTCCTATGTCGAACGAAATGTGTGTCCTGAATTCCGCTGTCATCCATTACTAAGTAGAATCTACTTCAAGATATAGTTGTAACCATGGTAATATAGATCTAACTTTTCAAGGAATCCATGTGGTAAAATGACGCAGATCAATCTAATGCATGTGTAGAGAATTCGCTAAACACCTATCCATCTTTTTTCCCATATAGATTAAATGTTATGCAGAGACACAAGTGAAATCAGTTATCGATTTATTGATACCGTATCCGAATGAAATTAATGATCAACCGGAAAAGTTAACAGTTAGTGCGATATGTCTATTGGCGAGTGAATTATCAACTACTGATGGTGTCACACAGCTTTTTATTGCATTCACCAGTGGTTTATTTATGAGTCGTATTGGTATATCAGATCAAAATCCGATTGGAACGCAATGGGTAGTTTTAAGTTGTCCAGGTGAGATACATGTATAACCGGTTGATTGACTTTTTGTGTCTTAAAAGTTATACTACTTAATTTTAGTAAGTAGTTTAGAGTGAAAAAAGCAAATAGTAACAAGTGTTGGTTTTCTGTGTGAATCGGTTATTTCAAAGTAGACTTTATCGAGAAGCGAAGTTAGCTGGATTTAGCCAGATTAAAATCTGCATTTCTTATTATTTTAATCTTGTAATTACATTAAATGACGTCTACATGAACTCGCGTACATGTTTAAATTAGCTCCCAACTAAATGCCGTGCAACTCTTAGAGGAAATAAAGAAGAAAAAATGTACAGAATGGGTTCTCTCTTCATAGGTAACAACGCTACCTCACATGATATACTTCAGTTTATTACTTAACGTGTAAATCCTGTGCGAAGAGGGAACAATGTGGAACTAAAATCACTGATAATTCCATAAAATATTAGTGAATTGGTCGACCTGTTGGTGAATCTGATAACAAGGATACTTATACAGAAAGCAATAATTCAGCCGTTTCGACCAGAAAAGATCAGCAACAGGGATCTCTGGCAATGAGAGAATCAACCAGGATCCGATTATGCAACAAATAAGGAGGAAGAAATGGAGATGGATTGGCTGGCCATACGCTGAGGAAACCATCAAGTGACATTACACGCCACGTCATCGCTCGAGTGGAACCCGAAAGGGAAGCGGCGAGTTGGTCGTCAGAGTGAGGGTTACTTGGAGGAGGTCATGTGAGGAGGAGATGAAAGCATGTGGGTAGATTTGGAGCCAGGTGAAAACTTTAGCAAAGAATCGAGCACAATGGAGACGCGCGGCTGAAGCCCGATGTTCCTCTGGGAATTAAAGGAAATAATAATAATAATAACTAGCTGTTTCATTCGTGTTTAGTGTTAGCCATAAATGGAGTTCCGAAGGGTATCCTACCGAAGACTCGTCAACTGAACATACCTGAATCTCAGTGAACATAGGCATTAGTTTTTAGCTATTTGGAGATAAGCAGTCGTTATTTGAAACTCTAGGAGTTCTCATCAATTATCTGTTTTGGTTCACAGCACATTTAATGTTGATAGGTCTTTATTAGTAGGAAAGTGTCTCTAACCCAACTTATTTACGCAATAGTGAACACTGTGGTATTTGAAATGATCGTTGCCAGTGTGTTGTGTGCTACTTACAAAACTTATCAGTAGTATATAAGCAGGCATTTATCAGTATAAAAATATCAAATAGTGAAGAGGATAGATTTCACGGCAACCAGTATAGCAGTGTCAGTGCGTGAGAGGACATGCAAAGAAGGCAAAGAAAATGCAACACGAAAGAAGGTCAGAAGAGTAGCACAATATGGTAGATCTGTGCGAATGATGATTCTAATATAAGCTTTATGCATAATTTCCCTGTGTGTGTGTCAAAGTGCTAATAAACATTCTCTTATCAAGTCTCTTGTCTTCTAACGTTACATTCTTCTTCTGCTTCTTCTTCAGACATTTGGAAGACTGAAGAGGTTAGCGCAAGTTCAACAACAGTAATGTCGTATTATTTTACATCAATATGTTGTATTAAAATGAAATTATGGGCTACAGATAATAATGGTCAATTGTTTACTGCCAAATTACTCATGAACAATATTCACTCTAGTAGTAATAATAATAGTGATCATTCATATTGGGAAACATTAACGTGGACTCTAGATCCTGCATGTAAGCGATATATCCTATTTTGATTTCATTTTGTCAGTTTGTTTTTATAATAAACATTTATTTCCGTGGTGTAAATCGATCATGAGGTGATATCAGTTAGAGAACCACTGGGAAACTTGAGAGTACTAGACAGCTGTTTCGTCAGCCTAGTCTGGGATTCTTCATCATTACGGTACCCGCCATGTCTTGAATCCGAGGCTTTTTGGTCATGAGACATGCTGGTAGACCACTCAGCCATTGGTATCTGACTCAGTGACCAATCCATGACTTCCAATTTCTACCAGTTCGTGATATTTACATGTGAAGCGCAACCGCCAACCTGTGTCACAGGGGAATAACTGTCCTCTTGTCTGACTTGGTGAGTCGATCCAGCTGGTTGGTTACGATTTCTCACTAGAACTCCAGGCAACTTTCTGTATATGACCAGTTGCTAGTGTACATCAGATTCATTATCCAGTGTTTGTTTGTTGCGATTTGATTGGTTACCTGGGGGTTGTAGCGAAAAGTTGTAACCAGCGGGGTTCATCAGGTTAGGCAAGAGGACGGCTGCTTGCCTGTGACACTAGTTGGCGGTTGCTCGAGATATATATCATCAAAATGACAGAAGTTAGAATTCATGAACCATTGGGCCGGATCTCAGTGGCTGAATATGATATATATATAATTCCCTTTCGTTCCTATTGAAACATAGGGCCTCAGCAGCACATCTCCACTTTGTTCTGTCTCCTGCCGTCGTCTTCAGCTGGATCCACAATTGACCAAACTCTCTCATCTTTTCCTCGCCATAGGATCTCCTCCATGTCACCCTGGGATGACCAACTTGTCGCTTTCCATTTGGATTGCACTCGATGGCCCGGCGTGCGATGTCATTCGATGGCCTCCTCACTATGTGACTGATCCATCTTCACTTTCTCTTAAATATTTGTTGAACGATCGGCTCTTGATTGGTTTGTTCAATGCTAGAGTTTCTTGTTACTTATTCTTTCTGGCCAGCCATTTGGTCTTCATTATGGAGCCACTGAAAGGGGTAGCTGTTAATGAAAGTCTGCAACCTGTTGGAAATCCCTTTCGTGACACGCTGTACAAGTTTCCGAACCGTAAAGAAGAACCGACTCTACATTTGTGTTGAAAATGTGAATCTTGTTCCTTATGCTGTGGAGTGCAGAAAATTTCCAAACTGGTTTCAGGTTGATAAAAGGCGTATCTTGCCTTTCCGATTCTAATTGGCTTTAACACCTCCAACCGTTACGTGTGCTTGTAGTTGAAACGGTGCTTCCTAGCCAGATAGATGAAGGAGGTAACCTCTGTTAATTCTCTCCATCCTGTTGATGGTGGTTGGTGCTGGTTGTTGTTGCTGTTGGCTGGTTGGTTGATTATCTTCATTTTCACCTCCGTCTAGTCTATGTTCACTTGGAATCCTGTCTTCTCTGGCTACCTCTTCAGCCAGTTTGTTAGTTTTAGCCTGCCTTCAAGTCTTCGAGTTCGTGTGAGACATGAGACATATATCATCTGAGAAATCCAGATCTTCTAGCATCTCCTTATCGGTCGTCCAGTGTATTCCTGACTTCTCGTCTCCAACCGTCTGAAGCATAATCCAGTAAGTCCACCACATCGATGGACGGTGGTAATATATTTAGGAAGAGAAACAGAGAGTTTCTTAGAGGTCATATTCAAAGTGGTAAAGCATACCAAGATACCTGTGTTCGATGATGAATCATCTTTTAGACCGCGGATATGGCATTGAATTTATCAAGCCGCTCATCGTTGTTATTAGATAAAGTAACGGTGAAAAAAATTGCAGTCACAGTGGCTTGTGTGATTATTATGATTATTCTCCCCTTGGGTTCCAAGTAGAACATAAGACTTCAACAGCACACCTCCACGTCACTCCGATCTCTTCAAACCTTTTTAGCTGGTTCCATGATTGCCTTATAAGGTTTTGATCCCTTCCTCACACGATCTCCTCCTTGTCACCCTCAGACGCTCAACTCGATTGTGGTCCCTCACTCGGATTCCACTCCAGGGCCTGTCTCGTCGTTTCACCCAATGGTTCGACCCATGTCTATTTCTTTCTACAAATTTTCGGGCTAATAAGTTCTTAGTTATTTCGTTATCAGGGTTTCTTGTGAGCTTATCTTTTCTGGGCTGACTATCGGATCTTCACTATCAAAACTGAAGGCGACAGCTGTTGGGAACGCGTCTGACGTGTCTAAACCATATAGAAGCACTGACTAAATTGACAGTAGTGTTCTTTATACTGCGGAGTGCAGCGATTTTGCACACTGATTTCAAAATAATCAAGATCAGTCTTGCTTCTCCGATCCTGACTTTGACATGCTTATTTCTGCAACCGCTTGTAGTGTAAATGAAATTGCCCTCCGTAAGTGAAAGAGGTATCTTCTTTCGAATTTCTCGCGTTGTTGCTGTCGGTTAGGTGTATCTTCATCACCACCTGTGTGTCTCCTCTGTGCTCACTTAAAGTTTTGTTTTCGCTGCTTTTTTTGCTAACTTGTGCTATTAACATCTAAAAAACCATGTTGATGATAGCCAAGAAAGCGCAATCAACAGACAGATGGTTTGAAGACAATTGGCAGAAAGATAGCTGTTGACTGACCTAGACTTCGTGGTTATTGGGACTCTTCAGAAAGCTATGTCCCCACCCACCCCCACCGTTTTGGGGAACTGATGCATCAGCTGAGGATTAACCCCACTTGGTCGTATGCTAACACAGTTGGAGATGTTATTACTGGGGTATTAGAACATCTGATCATCCATGGTGTGTCTTCAAAATTGATTGATAGGTCAAACTAGTTGGTCAGGGGTACTCAGATTGTCGTAACACAAGAATTTAGCTAAGGTAAGAATGGTTGACCCCGAAAAGATAAACAATTTAGAAAAAAGCTCAACAGTTGCACTTCACGCATGAACACACAACCACACGATAGGGTGGGAGAGGGTTAAAATTCTAAGAAGTAATCTAGGTAAGTGGAGAGAGGTGGTTGATTACTGAATCCGGCTTCATTGAGTCTACACCGAACACATACAGTAGGAATGACTCAATGCAAATACGAGAAATATGCATGGAAGATATTATTACCGCCAGTCAGTCAAGTCAGAGGAGGATAATAAATAATCTCAAAATTCTATTTCAATTCAATTCAAGCACATCACAACATTCTAACAAATTACTTATTTTGACTATATAAACACTCGTCTTATTTCCCATCTGATTGTAGTTGATGAATAACACTCATATTATTATTTCTGAATGTACATTATCTTGTATTGATTTTTACTCAGATGTCTAATCACCAATTTTGACTCATGTATATAAATGAAGGAAAAAAGTTGTGTGAGTAGTACCTTGATATGATTATGAGCGATAGTTTGTGCTCGAAACGTGGTCATCAGTTAATATTACTGTACAGCACTACTGTGTGACACTATCAAAATAAAATCTTATCCATAATGGAGTTCTACTCTACTCTACCACAGTGGTGCCCAAGTTTTATACTTTTATCAATGATTGACCACACGGTGAGTTCACAAATAGAATCCAATCATTACCAAGACTTGGGGACACCAGGCAAATGACACCAGCTATATACCCCAGTAACCGACCAATCAATTTATCTCAAGATTTATTCCATCATTTTGATCGTTGAGTTACTAGCCTCATTCATCGTTAGACTAGCGGTTTTGTATGCGATGTGAGAAGGGAACACACAAATGATCCAGAGAGAACAGATTGATATTCAGTGGTTGTTTAACGTGAAGAAACTGTGGAAGACCTGGATTTGGCGCGTGGATGATTTCTGTTTGATGTCACACAAAATCGAAGACTTACAAGCGAAAACTGACAAACTGGTCGAAGAAACAGCCGGCGAACACAGGACTCCAGGTGAACATACACAAGGTGGAGGTTATGAAAATAACTAACCAACAACAACAGCAGCAGAACCAACATCCAGCCCCAATCACCATCAACGAGAGGGACTTGAAAGAGGTTACTTCATTCACTCACTTATCTAGGGAGCATTGTCTCAACTACAGACAGTCGGAACGGACAAGGATGTAAAATCGAGCGAGAATCGGGAAGGCGAGCGAGAAACACATTCATCAACCTGAAACCAATCTGGAAATCTTCGTCGCTCAGCCAGCATCAACAACAAAATTCGGTCGGATTTTCAATACAAACGTCAAGTCAGTCAGTTCTTCTATACGGATCAGAAACTTGACGAGCGGGTCACAAAGAATATTTCCAACAGCCTGTTGCAGACCTTTATCAACCAACAACTGTCTTCGCTGGATGTATACTGAAGATCAGATGGCCGGCCGGGCCGGAAAGAATCACCAACAACCAACCAAACTATGGGAACAAACAAAACAAGAACCAATCGCCAACCAACAAATATGCAGGAGAAAGTGGATTGATATGGATTGGACACTCGCTGAGGAGGCCGCTGGGTGACATCGTGCGTGCGTCAGGCCATTGCTCGAGTGGAACCAGACCGAAAGGGAAGTGGCGAGTGGGACATCAGTGCATGGGTGACATGGAGGAGATCGTGTGAAGAGGAGTTGAAACAGTATGGAGTAACATGGATGCAGGTGAAAAGTACAGCAGAAGGAGGACAGAAGTGGAAAGTGGAGACGTGCAGTTGAAGCTCTATATTCCACTAGGAACCCAAGGGAACATCAAAGAATAATAATAATTTAACCATCTAGCGGTAGTGTGTGTTTCATTTTATACTACTCATTCCTTTTCTTTCTTTTGTTTGTCTCGTCTCTTTTGGTCTTAGGTGATATTGATCGTAATCCTGAAGGTCAATCAATTCATTTCAAGTATATTACCGGTGCAAATTGGGAGTCTTATGGTTTAGGCATTTGTTTATGGTCAATAGGGTGCAAATTGTCCTACTTACCAAAGTCAAATGATACAAATAATCATTTCAATTTTTTAACACTATGAAATATGAATTACAAAAACAGATGACTCATACAATGAATTCTGTAAATACTGAAAGTGTTTATGCCAGATGTTTCAGAGAAGATTCTACTCCAGATAAATGGTACTATTGGCTGCATGTACCTTCACCAACACCGAAAAGGTGAGTAGTTGTCGTCAAATTGATGTGATCATGTTGACGTCTGATATGACGCTGAATGGATGTGTATCAGGCTTTTAATGTCTTCCACTTTCAGTCAATTGCCATGTCTCACTCACAGTCAACCAGCCAGCCATAGAGACGAGGACGGAAGGAGCGCGAATTGTTGAGCAGTGCACACCTCTTTTGATATCCAGTTGGATATTATTGTTCCCTTGGGTTCCTAGTGGAACATAGGGCTTCAACTGCACGTCTCCACTTGCCACTTCTGTCCTCCTTCTGCTGTACTTTTCACCTGCATCCATGTTACTCCATACTGTTTCAACTCCTCTTCACACGATCTCCTCCATGTCACCCATGCACTGATGTCCCACTCGCCACTTCCCTTTCGGTCTGGTTCCACTCGAGCAATGGCCTGACGCACGCACGATGTCACCCAGCGGCCTCCTCAGCGAGTGTCCAATCCAGCTCAATCCACTTTCTCCTGCATATTTGTTGGTTGGCGATTGGTTCTTGTTTTGTTTGTTCCCATAGTTTGGTTGGTTGTTGGTGATTCTTTCCGGCCCGGCCGGCCATCTGATCTTCAGTATAGATCCAGCGAAGACAGTTGTTGGTTGATAAGGTTCTGCAACAGGCTGTTGGAAATATTCTTTGTGAACCGCTCGCCAAGTTTCTGATCCGTATAGAAGAACTGACTGACTTGACGTTTGTATTGAAAATCCGACCGAATTTTGTTGTTGATGCTGGCTGAGCGACGAAGATTTCCAGATTGGTTTCAGGTTGATGAATGTGTTTCTCGCTCGATTTTACATCCTTGTCCGTTCCGACTTCCTGTAGTTGAGACAATGCTCCCTAGATAAGTGAGTGAGTGAATGAAGTAACCTCTTTCAAGTCCCTCCCGTTGATGGTGATTGGGGCTGGATGTTGGTTCTGCTGCTGTTGTTGTTGGTTAGTTATTTTCATAACCTCCACCTTGTGTATGTTCACCTGGAGTCCTGTGTTCGCCGGCTGTTTCTTCGACCAGTTTGTCAGTTTTCGCTTGTAAGTCTTCGATTTTGTGTGACATCAAACAAAAATCATCCACGCGCCAAATCCAATTCTTCTAGGTTCTTCACTTTGGTCCTGGACATCCCTGTGTTTTCATTTCGTACTCACTGTCTGACGCATAATCCAGTCAGTCCAACACAATTAGGAATATAATCGTGAGTGGTTATAAGCACCCTTTTCTGACTCCTGTGTTTACTTCAAACGCCTCGCTGAGGTTTCCGTTGTGGATCACTTGACTTGTGCTTCGGTTGTCGTACAGCTGTTGAATAAGGTCCAATTGACTCCTGCCTCTCTTTAATCTCTAGGAGTGAGTCGATGTAGTTCAGTTGTATCCTGTAGCCTCATCATCTTACATTTGACAGCTGAAAAGAATCTCACACGAAACATTCGAAGATTGCTCACTGCTGTGTTTTCTCAGTGTCTTCACGTAAGAGGGCGGAATATAATATCCGCATATTCTAAGTCAACGAGATTATCCCTAACCTAGTAACAAATCAGTCCCTGAGTCGCTGAAGTCGGTTAGGGTTAATTCCACTAATACATATATGATTAAACTGAGCAGGAATAGGTAGAGTGGGCAATGCTGATAGACGTCACTCCTTGTCATCACTTCAGATGACGTCTCTCCGTAGGCAGGATAACCCCCACCTAGGTGTAGTCTCTTTGTCAATTACAGATTATGAGAACAAAACACGTAGATCAACGAAGAGTCTCTTTTCGGCGGCGGGGGCGGCGGCGAATTCATTTTCCCTTTAGCTGTACAATCGCAAATATATACATACGGGTTATTTTGTATGTATGTGTACATCGAATTTATCAAACAAAAATACAATTAGTTGGGTTATTTCAACTAAACAGGTGAAGACTGGTAATTGGAGTTACGTAATACAAAATCAGTCAAGAAAATTGGGGGTTAATAAAATCAGGGTAGTAAGAAAAGTGATGAGTTGTCACAACGGGTTGTTCGAAAGGATCCAAGAACAATATCCAGCATGGTGATGCGATAACTGAACACCTGGTCAACACAGATCATTCATCTCAACAAACGCCTCCTCCTTCAAAGTAATCTACAGAGTTAAGAATAAACTATCAAGGGTAATACGGTTTCGTTTTCTTTGTGTCGCTGAAGCTCTCGCCATCCATTCACATAGAAAAACCGGAGCTGTGCATACAAAAAAGAATTACTCAACCACTTCTACTGTCATAGTAACAACTTTTTTGATTTTGATGACTTAATTTTGTTTCTTTGCCTGTTTCATTAATTGCTTATAATTTTTGTATTCATTTAGAACTCCTACGTTATTTCGTATTATCCACTTTGTTTCTGTATGTGTATCCTGAGTAAAACTCACTCGTCAAACTATTCACATTATTATTACATAACTTCTTTTTTAACAACTGTTTATGACAACTCATCACCTTTGTTACTACCCTAATTTCATTAACACCTAATTTTCTTGACTGATTTTGTATTTAGAAAACAGAAAGATTAAGCGAAGAAATATTTACTTTTCAATTAGATCCTCATCTCTGGCTCTACTCTAATATATATAGCATCTCTATTACAATACAACAGTTTGCCAATCAAGTGGCACTGATATGTTTGTTAACAATTATTAGTCAGTGTCAAAATGTCAATGGGTTGATAATTGACGAAGAAAATCAATACACACAATTACAAGGTATAAATGGTTAGAATAAATTAATTTTACAAGGATAACACGTAAATTAAAGACAAAGTGGTCAAAATAAATAAAAATAAAATAAATAATTTAGACAATTATAATTTTCATAGGTTTAGGGGGAGGGGGCGATGTAGTCCTGTTTATGCATTCTTGTAACGATGGCCATGGTAAGGAAAGTGGTTGTACAAATTTTTTCTGAACACTTAGGCTTGGCTTCTTCAGGTGAATTCCGATTGTTCCAGCTGTCTGTAGAAGACGAACTCGCAGAGCAAAATTAAGATAAGTCGGAATGCGATAAATAATTTTAAATGCAATATTCATATCAATCTTATGCTCAGTATCAACAAGGTGAACTAAAATAGAACTACGAATACATCTTTTTTGTCCCTTGCTTAACCATGTTGGATGATGTTCGGAAATACGATGATGAACTTGACTAATTATACGCCCAATATAGCTGGCTCCGCAGCTGCATTCAAATTGGTAGATACACATAGAGATGGAGGCAAATTTAGGTAGTTTATCCTTATTTCTCGAACATAGAATAGGGATGGTTGTGAAGAGACAATGTACCACCTCTGCTGCATAATAAGCTCTTTTAACTTCATTCTTCAGGCGCTGTGTTATTATTTCTAAATGTCTAAATGGGGATTTTTTCTATATTGATTTTGTATTACATAACTCCAATTGCCAGTCTTCACCTGACTAGTTAAAATAACCATAACTAATTGTAATTTTGTTTGACAAACTTAATGTACACATACATATAAAATAATCCGTATGTATATATTTGCGATTGTATAGCTAAAGGGAAAATGAATTCGCCGCCGCCGCCGCCGAAAAGAGACTCTTTGCTGATCTACGCATTTTGTTTTCATTAATACTTGGATAGGGATTATCCATGAATTGAAAAATTACAGATAAGTGTGTGTGTGTGTATGATGAAAATTATAACATTTGTCTTTATTTTCGTTTCATTCACTCCTTCATTCATATCGTCTTTCCTTTCAACAGTATCCATATAAATAATAATGGGGTATGGCTACTATCATCTACCTATCCATCACAAATTTACCATCGTATTGGATTGGTAATGAATCATCACGGCAGCAGTAGTGACCATCATGGTGGTAATAGTAATAATGATGATAATAATAACAATGGTAAGGGTCGTTCATTACCTGCTCCAAAAGAACATCAAATCGGTTATGCATGGCAGTCTATACCATGTCCCAGTGTTTTCAATTATCCCTCTCTAAATATATCTACTATATATGTACCGTTCACTACTGACTCTATTTACTATCAAGGTGTGAATCTCTCCATGTCGAAATCACCTGCCAAACTGCCAACAACACAAGCTTCAATTTCACCATCATCTCTATCATTGTCAACACAACAGTCAAGACAATCTTATGCGTCAGTAATTTTGTATTGTTTGACAAGCAATGGCTTATTCCTTAGTCTTTCGTTTGGCTCTATCCTTGAATTCACTGGAGACTTCGATAATACTGATGAAAACAACAAAAAGGAGGAGAAGAAGACGAGGCTGTCAAGTCAGCAGTTAGCGCTAAATTGTAATTCATATGACGCTGAACCTAGCGGATTAATTATAATCGATTCAAACTGCAATTCATTTGAGTCTTAATGTCGCCTTACTACAGCTTAATTTGTGATATATCCATATATATATGTATATATATTATTGATTTCTAGTCATATTTTTATTAATATAACCCATTTTCATAAAGTATCATGAAAAACAGAAAGGAATGGTCATTGAGATCAGCAAACTGTATTTAAAGTATTTCCGAAAGTCTGAAATTTTCGTCTTTTCACTTTAACTACTTATCAAGTAGTATAAAATAATATAACTAAAATCGCTTGCACATTATTTATTTTGATTAACTCCGGTGAAGCAAGACCAAATTTGCAGTATACAAGTAGAACTATCAATTCTATTTCATAGGTTCTTATCAACTCTTAAAGACTACCTGAAATTATTTAATTGTTTATGAAAGAGTTTGTGAGGACAAATACTCACCAGAGATGATATTGGCTACTGTCAGTCCTGCTATATCGTACGTGAATTGGCAGAATTTTGGGATTCATGCATGGGCTGGCTGGTCATTGAGGAGTGATCTCCTAGTGGCCTAATGACCCACAAGGTAGCTAGCCTTGTAACCGGAGGGTCGTGGGCTGGAACTTTGGCAGTAAGGTGGGTGCAATAAGCACCCAAGGACTTAAGTCTGTTACGTCATGTGTATTTATCTACTCAGTTTGAAACTTAGGAGCATAGGATTTCCAAGTTTTTGTTAGCTGATTGTACGGAGCAGTTTTCAGCTAATGTCACAGGTAGGTGATTGACTTTCAGTGCTAGCTGTAGTCTTCCTCTGAGAGCTTTATTTAATCTATTTAGAGGTTATTCTATCAGTGAGACTTTATCATGCATGACCTATCTTTATTAAATGCAAGACCGTAGTGCTTTTTTTATAATCGTTAGAAAATAAACACTATCGTAAAATGAGTACTAGTGTGGTGATAGCAGGCTGCTAACCAATTGGTAGATATTAATTTACGTCAATGTCTATGTCGCTAATATTGGCCGTGAGGAAATATGAACAAGACTGATTCAACAACCAATCACAGCAGACTCAACGTGGGCAAATACGATTCGCAGATATATGGCTTAACTTTCTGAGAAACCAGTCACAAGCAGTACAGAATGACTGTACACATTCTCGGTCGACTGTGCCAACATGAGTAAGAAAATCATCATTTTCATTCATTGTCAGCTTGAGGCAACGATATCGTATGTTGAATAATGAGGGGTGGTCTCCAAAATGTTCACGCAGCAGCTTTATTGTATCACCGAAACACTTGTCACGTGGTTTCTGGGGTAAAATTAGGTTGCAGTACCGTTCATATTCTGCGGGACCCAATTTACGTAACACTCGTACCTCCCAAGCATCGTCTTGAGAGGCGAGATCAACTATGAACAAATCCTCATATCGTTGATACCATGTGTCAAAAGTGACATTCGCATCTGGATTATAATTGAACTGTGAAATACTATTCACAATTCCGTCGATAGATGGTAGCATGGTATGATTCAGATTGTTTGAAGGTGGAGCTGAACCAGTCTGTTGGTTGACGAACATTTCCATTAATTTCATTTGTCGTTCGAATAGTAATTCCAATTTAGAATGATCCATAGTTTTCCCTGTCGCCAAATTATTGTTATGTACTGGTCGAGTAATTAATAGTCCTGACGCAAAAAGGCGGAAATCAGGAAACCACCAGGTTCGCTATGATACTTGTATTTCTCAAAACAAGAAAATCAATGTCACACAAGTGTATGAGCGAATGTTCGAAAATGAACGAATCAATAGACAGTCTTAACATGATTGGTTGTAATGTCATGTGACAACAAGGTCAGACATGTTTGTTTAGTTAGTGGACAGACAAAAATATATTGTCAATTATAATGGAATATCGATCCATATATACATAGCAAAGTATAACAGACTGTCAAAAACAAACGCACATATTATATGGATACATATCAATAACCTTGAGCAAGAAACAACCAATCGGAAGACTGTGTTTGTCTGCTTGAATAAGCGATAATAATGTACATGAAATATATGTAAATACGTGCTGATTTCTTTAATAAACGATCTGTTGCCTGGCCCTTGTCTTCTGTTGTTCCACTAGCAGCAAGAAATCATCCTGAAGAATCCATAAGAAAACTTCATCCTGTCATATATGAGAAACATAAAGTTACTGTTAACTGACACAATGTGTGTTCTTTCATAGCAGTGCAGTTGACTGATTATGATCACTAGTTTGACTGGCAAAACCTAAGAGTTTTAGACAGTGGAAACAACAAAACTGTCAGGGATTTTCTACACGCCTTGTACTCGGACAAATCGACGATCAACGAACACATTAAGTATGATCAAATTCATTATGGAGAAAATTCTCATTTTGATAAAGTCTCATAGAGTGTTATACAGTAATATTTACTGATGATCATGTTTCGAGCACAGTTTATCACTGCTCACCATAGTCATATCAAGGCACTATTCACACAAATTCACGACTTCGTTTATATCATTCTACTATTTTTCATCTCTTGATTTGACGGGTAGTAGTACTTTCCATTACTCTGGGATTGCTGATGAGTCATTTTTGTTGCCTTTGTTGGGTGTAGATTAGATAGCACTAAGTAGTACATTAAAAAACCTAAATGATGAAATGAAATAGATAGAAGACGAAGTGTTGGCGTCATATAAGTACCCTATAAGATTCGTTAGGAAGATCAAATCGTGGCTGTACAAGAACTGCGATCATCGAAGATCTTGTCAACACTAATCACTCCATCTCAGCAAACGTCTCTTGCTTCAAAGTTATCTACAAACTGAATCATGACCTACCAAGAGAGTCCTAACTACTGTGCATTGGTGGCACAGTGGTCCTTGTAACACATGTCCCAACCATTTCACAGTGGTTAGAACTCTCGCCGGCCATCCACATGGTCCGGGGATCGATCCCCTGCCGGCGCACACCTGATATCTATGGTCGGCCTGCAAAATTTGGGCTACCGATATCATATACTGAAAATTTGATACCTGTACCAAAAATACAGTGTGGAATGAAGGTGAAATCGAAAATAAAAATAATAATAAAATAAAAGACAAATCGCTTTCGTCTCCTTTTTATTGCTGGAGTCTTAGCCGTTCATTCAGTTGAAAAAACCATAGTTATGTCTACAAAAGAAAACCATCCAACCATGGTAACAACCGTACTGATTTCTACTGTCTTCATGTTTGTGTGCCTGTTTTTTTCCGTTTCTGACTCCTTATAACGTTTTTAATTTTTAAAACTCTTGCATAACTGCATCCTAATCACAACTCTTTAAAAATAAATTATTCACCCTGTTACATAACTGTATTACGCTTATTGAACTTCTTTTATGCGTTGATTAAACACTAATAACTTTATTTTTGACAACGCATTGCCACTACCCTCTTGCCAACTTTCACTCACCCTGTGGTGAGAGCAGGCTGCTAGCCAATTGGTAGACATTAATCTACGTCGATGTCTAGGTCACGAATATTGGCCGTGATAAAATATGAACAAGGCTGATTCAACAACCAATTACAGCAAACTTAAACGTGGGCAAATATGATTCGCAGATAGATGGCTTTACTTTTCGATGGTTACCTGAAACAACCAATCAGAAGACTGCGTTTGTCTACTTGCATAAGCTATAATAATGTATGTGAAATATATATAAATACGTGTTGATTTCCGTCATAAAACGATCTGTTGCCTGACCCTTGTTTTCTGTTGTTACAACCCTAGTTACAGTTTGATTATTCATCACATTTTTGAAATATCTTGACGACAGTAACCGTAACTTATTTTTATTCTTATCGGACCAACTTAATGTTCACATACATACAAAATTAAGTATGTATTATCGCGGTTGCACAGTTTGGTGAATGAATTCGCCGCCACCGAAAAGAGACACTTCGCTGAACTGCGTGTTTTGTTTTTTATTAGTGTCTAGATGGGGATTATTCGTGAAGATCAAAATAGGTCAAAAGCAAAATAAAAATAATGGCGAAACTAATAATGACAACATAAATAAGAGAGAATATAAAGCCTCTAAAGTTTTACCATATAAGGAGAAGACATCTGAGACCCTAGGTAGGATTTCTAATAGAGCATGGATTAGGGTGGCATTCAAACCTACAAACTCAGGTAGGACAAGCTCTGTAGGTGAAAGGACTCGGTGAACCCATAATTTAATTTACAAAAATACGTTTAATGACTGTAAGTGAGGTCAACTACATAGGTCAAGCCAGTGGTAGATAGGGGGAATGACTTATCACTAATACCAGACATACGGAGAGTTGAATGACTGGTGCCTTGATATGATTAAGAGCAGTGATGAATTGTGCTCGATACGTTGTCATCAGTAAATATTACTGTGTGTGACACTTTATCAAAATAAATTTTCTGCATAATGGAGTTATGCTCTACCACAGTGACTAAGTTCTATTCTGATATGTAGAATCAAATTTATCAACTAATAACGAATAAGTTACATCCCAAGTCAATAATACGATCAATACTAATGAACACTAGAAAGCGGAGTCGTAGCGAGGGAGAGAGAGAGGGATAATTATATTGTAGTGGGAGCTGACTTCTGACAAGCGAAAATTGTAGACACCAATTTACGTCAATGGTACGTCCCGGATCGAGGTCATGAGAAAAAAAAACAAGAACGGAGCCTAACCTTGAGGAACTCATCAGCCAATCACGGCAGACTTAACGTGTGCAAATTCGATTCGCAGGTATATGGCTTAACTTTCTGAGAAACGGTCAAAAGCAGTAGAGAATAACCTTCAGCAAAACGCAATTAATCAGAAGACGTTGCTGACAATAATGTACATAAAAATCTGTAGATATCTCCTGATTTTATCAATAAACGAAATCTATTGCCTGGCCTTTGTATTTTGTCGTTACAGTATTATTCATGGCAATATCAAATAAGTTCTCTTCGTACCAAACTTTGCACTGAATGTTTTGTTTGATTCCAGGCCGCTAAGTTGGTAAAAAGGGAAGGTTGGGGTTAGTGAGGCTGGCAACCCTACTCCATTAAAATAAAACCACTGCTAACGAAACTTCAAAACTCTAGCTTGAAGCCTTATATTCCACTCGGAAGATAGCGGAATTAATGATTATTGAATTGAATTGTTTAGATTTTCCCGTCGATTGATTGGACCGAAGTGCTCGGTGTCAGATTGAAATGTCGGCTTCTTGTGCAGATGATTCGATGATGTCTGGGCATTTAATTAGTACACAATTGGTGGATGGTGGCTAGCAGTGAAATCCAGGATGCGCATTTCGTCCTATTCGGGACTCGTCAGCTGGATGTACCTGCACTGGGTTTGAGCCTCGGTGAGAACATCATCATCACTCACTGAGAAATGCAGGTACATCCAGATGATGAGTCCCAAATAGGGCGAGGTGCGCATCCTGGATTCCACTGCTAGCCACCATCCACCAATTGTATACGAATTGATGATTAGTTATATTATTTCAAGATAGGTTAACATTCAGATGAATAAAAGAAGAATTCTGGAATTTTCTAATAAGTGATTTTTATATTATCATAGCCATATGAGAAATAAATAGAGTAGACAAAGAAAATACAATTTTCTTTAGAAAGTGGTTGATTTTTTTTCGAAACAATACTTTCGTTACTTATATTGCTGATAACAGTAGTATATATAATGAAGCAACAAAAAATGAGAGAGAGATATTTGACATGATTAAATTTTCTCTTCGTGTAATTCAACACGTTGTCCAATACCAAAATGACAATGACATGAACCTTCATTAATGAAACTGACAGAACCGGTAGAATTTGGAACTTGATAAAAGCCATGCTTTGAAATGAAGACTTTGCTCAAGTCGTTTATCACCACAACAGATACAATTGAACCGTCTTTTTTATCACGTAATTTAACAGAGATTGTACCTTCAAAGACTGTTTCCACTTGAAATTTCCCATTGTATTCATCTTCAGTGATGACTAATTCAGCACGTGTACGATATCCTGGGGGGACAACTATCTGTAAAGGAATAATAAGAGAGAAATGTGCAAATAAGGTGTGAATTTCTTTCAAAGGAAGTTCGGCACGATAATCCAAACAATTAGTTAAAACACACGTGGAGTAGCGCGTAAAATTCAAAAACTCAGCAGTTTGAACAAGACATATAAGCGAACAATACTGTTGTTTTCAATTAGATCTTATTCACGCTTTACTCTAATTTACATAGATTTATGTATAAAAATTTTTAACCAATGACGGTGATTGTGTGGATCAAATAGTAATAATAATAATAATAATGTGGCAAGTGTTTTGAACGTAATTAATAAAGATGATTATAATGATAACAGAATATTGATAAGAATAATAATATTGATAAGAATAACAAAGGCAGTACGCGTATCTATATGGCACAGTGGTTAGGACTCTCGCCAACCATGCACATGGTCCGATGTTCGAACCCCTGCCGACGCACATCTGATATCTATAGTCGGCCTGTAAAATTTGGGCTACCGATATCACATACTGAAAATTCGATACCTGTACGAAAAATACGGTGTGGAATCACGCTGTAATCATTAATTTTAAGAAAAGTATATGTAGACTATTCAATAAATAAATAAATTAGGTCAAATCCTAAAAGATGAGGTTGATGTATGATGAGAGCTTAAATAAATATCATAGAAGTACGAAGGAGGTGGAAGATAAGAAAGGGTCGGAGGGTTTTGAATAGAATTCACCTAGGCGAAGCAAGGGAGAGACAAAGGTAGAACAAACTTCTTTTGCTGTATGCAAAGACTAGGCTTGTTCTCTCGAATTCCCATAGCTTCGGCTAAGTGTAAAAGACGGATTCTGATTCCGTTCGAACGACTCGATGGAATGCGATAGATAACTTTGAAGGCACTATTTTTGTCCACTTGGTGACCGCTATCAGCAATCAAATGAGCCAAAATAGAACTTCGTATGGATTTTATTTGACCTTTTCCAAACCATGAAGGAAGATGCTCATTAATGCGTTTGTTAAGCTGTCTAGTTGTTCACCCTCTATAGCTCTCTCCACAGGGCAACTAAATTTATAGATAGATACACATAGAAGTGGCACAACTAGGTAGCTTGTATTTCACTTGAGCAATCAAAATTGGTCGGCAGCTGGCAAATGACAAACAAAGGGTGATGGTGGTGGCAGTATAAGTCCGTTTTATCGCTCTCGATAATCTCAGATGTAAGACTTCGCTAGCCACGTCCCCAGTAGTTAGTTGAAAACTAATTAAAAATATGTGTGAGTCCATTTAACGATCGATGAATATATATTCATATGACTACAACAATAAGAAATACAAAAGACTTTGAGCATTCTAATGGATGGATGGATGGAAATTTTCGTAGCCCAGTGATTTAAGAAGGCCACCCGCCGCCACAGATACAGTGACTTACCCCTCTTTTCACCAAACTACATTAGCTATTAATACTCTTTACGCTCAGTCATCTAACCGTGTGACTGCTTACAAGTGAATGAACCATGATTTTCGAGCCTTATTCAAGAGTACCTAATTTAGGAGGGTCGATCATCATTCCACACATAGTTTAAATTTTTATGTTCCAATAGTCTCTATGACCTCATAGTCACTAATGTGGTATTTGGTAAATTATATAATTCTCCCCATTGGATCCATCAAATCGTTGAGCCGACTAAGGTTCTCTCTAAGTCAATTCGTTGACCAGAGCGGTACCTTAATTTCAATCTTATTATCATTCTCTCTCAGGGCATCTAAAAAGTGGCAAACAGATACAACATTGTAAGAAGTTATCATCTGTGAATTTGTTCCAGAGGAAATTTGCGTTGATAATCCAAACGACTAGTTATACCACATGTTGAATGATGCGTGAAATGCAAAAAACATATTATTATTATATTATTATTTCCTTTATTTCCTAGAGGAACATAGGGCTTCGGATGCATGTCTCCATTGCGTTCGGTTCTCTGCCAACGTTTTCATCTGGCTCCACGTCTGTTCAAATGCTTTCATCTCCTCTTTTATGCATGACCTCCTCCTCGATGTCACCGTCGTACTGGTAATCAACTGACTCGCCACTTTCCTTTCGGCTTCCACTCGAGCGATGGTTTGGTGTGTGATGTCAATTGATAGTTTGTTTTCTCAGAGTATGGCCAGCCACTCTACCTCCATTTCTTCCTGCATATTTGTTGCACAACTAGTTCCTGCTGAGTTGGTTCACTCCCAGGGATCCCTGTTGCTGATCTTTTCTGGTTGATCATCTGATCTTGAGCGAAGACAGCTGTTGATGGAAGTCTGTGGTTTGTTCGAAGCCCCCTTCGTGACGTGGCGCCAAGTCTCTGATCCGTATAGTAAGTAGCACTGACTTCATATTGGAGTTGAAAATCCGGATCTTATATATCATACTGAGTGCTGTTGACCTCCACACAGACATGAGAGTAATGAAAGCTTACCTTGCTTTCCCGATGGTCCTCGCTTTGATGATATCCTCATCAGTTCCGTCCGCCCGTAGCTGAAGCGATGCTTCCCAGGTAGGTAAGAGGGTAAAGGACGTTGCCTCCTTCATATTTCTCCCATTTATGCTGGCTGGTTGTTGTCTGTTGTAGTTGCTGTTGGTGTTGGCCAAGAATCTTCATCACCTCCGTTTTCTCTGTATATTCACCTGAACTCCTCTGTATATTTGATGCTTCTTCTGCCAACTTGTTGCTTTTCACTTGCATATCTTCTAGTTCGTGAGAAATCATCGACGAAGTGCAGATCCTCCAAGTTTTTGATGTGGGTCCATTTTATGTCTGTTTCCTGAAAAACATAAGGTTTGTTTAAAATACTTTACTGCATTGAACAAAACATAATCCGATAGAGTGTAAAAACTCCCAAAACTGTGAGGTATCTGAGGTTGAATGCCGTCAGCAGCACAGTGCATTTGCGTCAATAAGAAAAACAGCAAAGCTGTGTGTCTAAGGGGATCCACGTGTAGATTTAAGCAGTGCACTAATACCAGACATAGAACAAAATCATATTTGACGGCAAATGGTAGACAGATGATGCACACACAGCAGATAATGGTTAACTATAAGAAACTAGTTATTATACATCCAATGGAGTATAAATACATGAAGTGAGTAAAACGTCCGTGGCAAAGTCATGGTTTAGAAGTTTCAAGTATAATTATACTACTTATTAATAGTGAGTAGCATAAATGTTAACACAAAAGAAAAAATGTTAAAGGACATAGTTAAGGAATTAACGTGGGATGCTCCGACAATGCGTTATGATTGATGGAAGCTAGTGACCTAATCTAGTATAAGTGTTTCGTCCTATTTAGGAGTTGTCATCAGAAAGACAGTTAGGTGCAGGTATATCATCCAGCTGAGGGATTACAAATAAGAAGAAAGGATTTTCGTGGGTTCCACCGCAGTTTATTCACTCTTTCCGCTTCAAGTACAACATATGGGGCTTCAAACACAGATATTATCAATGTTGGAGGAATCCCCATTTAGAAGGCAAAAAAATTGAGCGAAAATATATTTTTACTATTCAATTAGATCCTTATCTTCGGCTCCACTCTAATATATTTACATAGAATTTTTAATACAATACACAACATTTTACCAATCAAGTGGTAACATGTTAGTTAACAATAATTAGTCAGTATCATCATGTCAGCGGGGTGATAATTAACGAAGAAAATTAATCCAAACAGAAGATATTCCAGATTGGCAGCAACAATAGGTAAAACCACCGAATACATTTGATTGTAGAGATAGATATTCCAACATCATCCATAGCGTAGCCCATTATAGAGACGGTTTACAAGTTTTATTTCAGTAGTGCCTTTAAATCCACACATAAAACAAATTTGGGTCATATGCTTAGTTCCGTTGAAGCGTTGGTCATAAAAAGGTTTAATCCTGTCTTATGTCTTTGACTGACAACCTATATTTATGACGATTAACAAATCATCTCCAGACTACTGCTATGATTTCTTCGCAGGAGATGAGTGAAAAACTCTGAGAGGTATTGTAGCGTACCAAGAAACTGGCTGGAGAAGCAGTGCAGCGAAGACAGGACACCAGATGAACATAGAAAAAGCGGAGGTGGTGAAGCTGATCAACTAACAACAACTACCAGTGTCACTCAATTGGAGAAATTTGAAAGAGGTCACTCCCTTCAATTATCATTTCAATTGTAAGCGGATGACATATATAAAGATATCAAAACCAGCCAGAATCGGAAAGGAAAGGTACACTTTCAACATCTTGAAATCCCTTTACAATACTTCCGCACTCACTCATTCAGCATAAAGAAGAGAACTCGGATTTTCAACAGAAATGTAAGGTCATTCGGTCAGTCACTTCTTCTATATGGATCAGAAACTTGGCCACCACGTGAGTCACAGAAAGCGTTTCCAACAGGCTAATGAAGGTATTTATCAACGAATACCTCCACGAACTCCATACTGAAGATCAAATGGCCGGCTGGCCAGAAAGAATTAACAACAAGAAACTCTTGGAGCGAAGCAACCAAAAACTAATCTCTCAGCAGATATATAGAAGATAATGGAGATAGATTAGGCATACGCCACTGAGGAGATTGTTGGGTAACACTGCGCCCAATGAAGTCCATCACTCGAGTGAAAGGTGAGTGGGAAAGAAGTGACAAGTTGGGCCTTTGTCTGAAGGTAACATGGAGGAGGTCGTTTCGGGAGGACGAGATGCGAAATTAGGTCAATTGTGGGGTCAGGTAAAGAGTATCGAAGAGAATAGGAAAAAGTGGAGATGGAGTGTTGAAGCCGCGTATTCCACTGGACAGAAACCAAAGGAACAATAATTATAGCTATAATAGTCATCATGGTCAAGCACAATACTCAACAGCCAAAGACAATAAAAGCAACATCGTCTACAAGCGTTTGGAACTATAGGTTCTAGGTTCGAGCCTCATTGGAAAAACCATCACTGATTCACTGGAGAATGCAGATACATTCACTGGCTGAAGAGTCCTAAATAG